TCAGTTTTTTCAGTCTGCAGGGCAGGGTCTTACTGGTTTTCAGGACTGCGTTATTCTACTCTTCTTAGTGCGGCTTTCATTGTCGGGACCAAGCCTTCGCTTTTTACTGCTGTAGTTCTAATCAGCCAGGACTTCCGCTTCAAACCGTTGAACTGAAAGTCAAGCGGCAACATATCTGTTCGAATCTGTCGAGTTCGTCTCTATCCACCATCGGCCGGGTTTTGCCGTTTGTGTGGTTGTTGTAGTCTCGACGTTCAAAGAACTCGGGTGTGTGGCGATGGGCTGGTGACTTGTTTTGGACGAGTCAGCTTCGCTGTTGGGCGCTTGGATGAATAGTTTGAAGGCCAAAACGTGCAATTCGATGCAAGAAAGCGGGTGGTAGAGGATAGTGCAAGTGCATGCAAATGTGCTGTATGTGAATGCGTGACTATATCGCGCGTGGGGCGTCATAAATTCGTGTGGAAGGTGGAGGTTAGGTTATCGATTTGCTGGGCGCATAGCGCAGTGGTAGCGCGTCCGCTTTGCAAGCGGAAGGCCCCGGGTTCAATCCCCGGTGTGTCCAACTCTTTGTTCGACTCACCTCCACTTGCACGCTGTGCTGGGGCGCCTACGACAACACCGCGCCATTATGCTTCTCCGCGAGGCAAACCATACATCTGGCTTTGTTTTCGACAGCTGCGCAGGACTACTGGTTAGGGCTGCTTAGCCTACCTCGTAGCCCGACTCATTGCGGGACAAGCTCGCTTTACGGCGTAGTCAAACAGCAGACACCCCTCAACCGCCGACTGAAGCCAGCGGCACAATCGTCGATCTGTCGAGTTCGTCCTACCACCACGCCGGTTTTGCCGTTTGTGTGTTGGTGTCGTTTCGACGTCAAAAGACTCGGGTGTGTGGCGATGGCTGGTGACTTGTTTGGATGAGTCAGCTCGCTGTTGGCGCTTGGATGAATAGCTGAAGGCCAAACGTGATCAAGAAGTGCCGTACTAACGGTCTGTATGACATCGAATATGATGACGGTGAAGTTGAGGTACGAGTTCGCCCCAAATACATCAAACCAGAGGAGGCCAAGAAACAGCATACGCTTCCGCCAAAAGAAGACGCTGTCGAAGTGTCTTGGGAAAAGGGACAGAGAGTAGAAGCTAAATTACGTGGGCATGCAGATTACGTGAAATGTATCGTGTTTCGTGCGCATGACGATGGTAGTTGCGACTTGGAAGCAGAAAATGGTGAGCTGCTCAAGCGCATACCGGGCGATAACCTTCGAAAGCGTGCTAGCTCGCCGGTGAAAAAGCCAATTCTCATGAGCGACGATGAACCGATCCGTCCAAAGCGACCCTTGGTAAAAAGAGCAAGTGAACTTTCCGCGAGTGACGATTCCTCTGCGCAACCCAACGTAAGATTTAAGCAAGGACAGACAATTGAAGCTAAGCGCAATGGTAAGGATTGCTACACTCCCGGTGTAGTCGCTCGATGCCGGCTCAATGGTTCCTACGACATTGACTTCGACGATGGTGAAAAGGTATTTGCAATACCTGCGGTTAACGTGCGCACGCTTGATTCAGCACCAAGATTCAAGAAAGAGACTACATCAAATACAAGAATTAAATCATAAACAACTTTTAAGATAGGCCAGCCTATAGAGGCTCAGTACAAGGGCAAGAGCAAATTCTACCCGGGCGTGATCTCGCGCTGCCGTCTGAACGGCACGTACGACATCGACTACGACGACGGCGAGAAGGAAACGGGCGTGGCGGCCGAGCTGATCCGGCTGCTGGGCAAAAAGGGCGGCGGCGACAGCGACGACGACCCGAAGCAGAAGAAGTTCCGGGAGGGCGACAAGGTGGAGGCTCAGTACAAAGGCAAGAGCAAATTCTACCCGGGCGTGATCTCACGCTGCCGTCTGAACGGCACGTACGACATCGACTACGACGACGGCGAGAAGGAAACGGGCGTGGCGGCCGAGCTGATCCGGCTGCTGGGCAAGAAGGGCGGCGGCGACAGCGACGACGACCCGAAGCAGAAGAAGTTCCGGGAGGGCGACAAGGTGGAGGCTCAGTACAAGGGCAAGAGCAAATTCTACCCGGGCGTGATCTCGCGCTGCCGTCTGAACGGCACATACGACATCGACTACGACGACGGCGAGAAGGAAACGGGCGTGGCGGCCGAGCTGATCCGGCTGCTGGGCAAGAAGGGCGGCGGCGACAGCGACGACGACCCGAAGCAGAAGAAGTTCCGGGAGGGCGACAAGGTGGAGGCTCAGTACAAGGGCAAGAGCAAATTCTACCCGGGCGTGATCTCGCGCTGCCGCCTGAACGGCACGTACGACATCGACTACGACGACGGCGAGAAGGAAACGGGCGTGGCGGCCGAGCTGATCCGGCTGCTGGGCAAGAAGGGCGGCGGCGACAGCGACGACGACCCGAAGCAGAAGAAGTTCCGGGAGGGCGACAAGGTGGAGGCTCAGTACAAGGGCAAGAGCAAATTCTACCCGGGCGTGATCTCGCGCTGCCGTCTAAACGGCACATACGACATCG